AGTATGTTTGTCATAGTCTAATGGAGGTACATACCTATTGTTATGCTAAAGATCATGAGTTTAAAGTAGTGTTTAGAAAAAAGTTTCTTGCTCAGAATTATCTTTTTGATAGCAATGGTGTTTAGCTTACAGATATACAGTAAATTCCTGTCTGTATCTTACCATCTCAATTTACCACCTACAATAGTGTCTGCACCCATTTGTGAAGTATGTGTATCCTTTTTTTAATTCCCTTTAATAGCAATAAAACTTCAGAATATATTTATTACTAGTTAAGTTGCTAGTATAGTATTTTTGTAAATACATAGATACAAATGAGATAATAATACAAGCTTGTATAATATTTGTTATAAAATAAATTTTTTTAAATTTGTTTCAGCTGATTTATGACCACAAAATGTGTGATTAGACAATGGTTTATACACCAGGAACTTCAATTTCAATGAAATTAAAAAACAAAATATAGTGGCCAGGGAAAGTAGTGTGTCCAGTGGTATTGTCATTAACAAGGAAGAGGTATCCACTCAGAATCTAAAATGAAGTTTTCTAGAAAAAGGATGATAGGAAGGTTTTCTTATTTTGAATACTGTACTAGTATTAAAATTGATTTAAATTAATTGTATTTATTACAGACTTGTGTTTAAAAGAAAAAGAAAGGCACACAATATTGATGAAATGGTGAATTTTTAAGAGGATATAACTAAATTTTTAAAAAGAAATGAATGAAATATCAATATTTTTAAACAGTGAAAAAAAAACATAGATTAATGCAGTTTTACCTAAAGAATTATGCCAATACTCTTTTCTGACCGAAATAGCAAATCTATTGAAAAAAAAAAAAGTTTGTTGAAAGTCTACAAAATCAATGAGTTCATCAATCAGTCTATGATAACATCTAATTGATGAAATTTTACAACAAATTGTTTGGAGACATATAGCGCTATATGGAAGAACTGTGGATGATGAAACACAGATGACAAAAAATTGAACACTTCTTGAAATCCGTCTCAAACACAAAATAATCAAACAGAATTAAAAAAAACTAAAATGTATTATAAACTTTTAAAGACTAACAACATACAATATCAAGATGATAGTTTTATGGATAGTGCTAATTGATAAACATTTCAATACATTTTTTGATGGAATTCCAAAAATTGCCAAGGGTGTTGTATTAAGTTTTAAGACTTAAAAAAAAGTCAAGAATTATTGAAAAAGATTGCAGTAAGAGGTGCTTATTTAAATATTATTAAAAACCATTACAAAATTTTAGTGGTATAGTTGCATTAAGAAAAAAATATCTATACCAATAATAAAACATCTAAAAACATCTTAAAATCACCCTGAATGACAGCCAAATAAAATGTTGCCTATTATTTTGTGTATGCAATTTTTCCAATATATTACAATTGCATAATGTCTCCATTTTTCAACATAATTTTTGTTTGTTCCACGAATACCCTTTACTTAATTCATACTTATATTTAGATATTTTAATTTGTCATTAACTTTAGATTTATTTTTACTTATTTTTAAATTGTTTAACTTAAATAACAATTCATTGTTTTTCCTAGCTTCAAATGTTATACATTTAATCTTTGTTTGTTTAGTAATAAATTATTGTAATAGGTAAAATAAGTTATTAGTTTTGAAATTGAATTGAACCGATTCTATGTACCTATTGATGTAAAATGATTGTAAATTTTATTTTTTATTGTTCTTATAAAACATTCAAAATGCATACATTTATATTACTGTATGTACTTTAATGTTTAATATTATAATTGTTCATAAGATCTTAAAACTGTTTTTTGGAAAACTGTCCATTATCTGTTTTCAATACTTTCGGCTGATTATTTATTTTTTTTAATGGTTGTACCCATACATACGAAGTTTAGCTATTAAATAACAAGACTGCGCGCGCAGAGAGCGTCCCAAAAAGGTTAGGGGAAAACCGAATACAGCGCTGGTTAAACCTAACCTAACCTAACCCTCCAGAGGATGAACCAACATTACTATTTGACAGTTTTGGCAAATTACACGAATAAGTTCGTAAGAAACGGTCGATATTGTGGAAAAACAAGTCGTGGATCTTAAGGCACTCCAGTACTCGAACACGCGTCTTACTCACCCGACTTGGCACCCTGCGACTTTTACTTGTTTCCGAAGATAAAGTGTGCCTTAAAAGGAATCCGGTTTGAGTCGATGGAAAAGGTGAAACAAAAATCGGCGGAAATCTTGAATGGTCTTACGAAAACAGACTTCCAGCACTGCCTCGAGCAATGGAAGAAACGAATGAAACGGTGTGTGAAGAGGGGAGGAGAGTATATTGAAGGGGAACATTTGGTTGTGGAATAATTTTTAAAATAAAACCATTTTTCATAAGTAGTCTCGTTATTTAATAGCCAGATCTCGTATTTGGTATATTTATCTATTATTATTGAAATATATTTAAATCCACTATTATTCCTAGGAATTGCATATCAATTAAGCCATTTTGCTAAATAGTATCCTTGGAAAAAAGATATAACATTTCCATATTATAAAATATTAGACTTTGTGTACATATATATGTATACTATATGAGTTTTTACACAGTTCTTTTAAGATTAATGTAATCTTATTATTTGAATTTTTCCTGCATTTTGGGGTGATTTAAGTCTTGTAACCAATTCATTAGGACCATTTTAATATACTTACTTCATTTTATCTGTCATATCTATGTAATCCGTCTCCCTTTTTCATAGATTTTGGCATGAAATCGAATGGTTTGGTTTGAAAAACTGCATCAGCTGAATGTGCACTTCATTATTAAGTTATCTATTTTTTAATAAAATTAGGGAATTCATTATTTTTATCTGTTCATAAAAAAGCTTAACAATAGATTTCCATTTAAAACTGTTGGTAGATTCAAGTGTTGTTTTTGTTTTTAAAGTGAACTTAAGTTTGTCATAATATTCCTAATTTTCGTTATCTGACTGTGTAACTCCTTTTGGGTTATTTTCTCATAACAGAAACCAAAGACTGAGTCTTATTATATTTATGGTTTTCTACCATTATTAACCACTATTAGTCTCCTATAAACTCTACTGGATATTCTCCTATTTGCAATTTTAGGTTCTGAGCGGGACTCAATTAATATCAAAATTGTTATCAATAGTACTTAATAAAATAGTAAGTTCATAAAAACGACATTTTAAGCTTCTAATATTTAGTGTAAAAATGAATTATGTAAAATTTTTAAGTAATACCTGATCAATATTATAAACAGAAACAATTTTTACATTATTTATATTTTGCTTATTGTTAACATTCATTAAAATTGATTTTAATTTAAATGACATCAAAATCATAATATTAATTTAAACAACCTTTGTGTTAAATCATATGTTTTATTTACATAAAAATTTGATATTAACACGCAATTATTTTCTGTGCATAAAAATAAATAACAGGAAGACGTTTAAAATAATAATAGACACTATATTGTTTATTGGTAAACATGGCTTAAGCTACTGAGGTAATAAGTTTAAGGTAGCTTATTTTTTAAATAGTTTACATGATTAGGGAAACTTTACGGAATTATTGTTTTTAAGTAATTATGATTCGATCATTATGGATCATTTAGATACAGTTACTCAAAAAAGTAAAAATGCCAATAAATCTGGTAGTAAAGGAAGAAGAAACTATCTTACATTTATTTCAAAAACTACGGTATATATGTGATTTCACCAATATGTACATTAATTAAAAAATCAATTAGTTCAAATGTAAATAAAGCTTAAATGCATTCAGTTATGCTCGATACTGCATAAGATATCCCTACTAAAGATCAATGTGCTATTGTTATCAGATATGTTGCCAACAATAGTGTACATGAACTGTTAATTTCATTGGTAAATTGTTTAGATACAACGGATCAAGGTATGTGTCAATTACTAAAGAATGTTTTAAAATCAAATAATATTGATGTGAAAAATTGTGTGGTAAATTCCACAGATGGGGCTGCAAACATGCAGGATGATTATAATGGTTTTAATGCTTAATTAAATGAAACAGCACCTAATCAAGTACATGTGTGGTGTTACATTCATGTTTTTAACTTGGTAATGTGGGATGCATCAAAATCGCCTTTAACGCAGCTACATTATTTACCTTATTGAATAGTTTGGTAATTTTTTAAAGAATCATAAATGCATAGAATATTTTACTAAAAGATATACAAGTAATAACTCGATTGTGGGGAAAACAAATTGCTCTTAATAGAATATTTGGAAAGATTAATGATCCATTTAAAGGTCTGTACTTAGAAGTGACATTGGCATTGAGTGATGTAATTAATAATGATAATTCCAAACCAGACATTAAAGTTAAAGCTCATACGATCATTGGAGAACGTCCTTACTGAAATATTCTACTATGCTAATAGCATCTAATTATATTAGAATTTTTAGTATCACTGTAATCACGTCTAACTATATAATTATGTTATTTTTGGTTATTATGTGCAAATATGGATGGTGAAAAAAAAAGCAGCTTGGCCATTGGATAAGCCGAAATTCCTGATATTTCAATGGTGTTGATAATCTACTGGTAGACTCTATTGTAAACGGAAATGCATTGATGTCAAACAAATTTTTGATAAAAAAATAAGTAATTTCTTTTTTTCGAAGAGGGGCTGTATTAATTCGAAAGGACTTCTAATTGACTTATTCGGTTAGTGGACTCAAATGGTCTCCTCCTAAAGTGAGTCTATCCTAAAGTGACGACTATCGTTTTATCAAGTATACAAATCATCCGTTGGATAATTACATAATTGTATATGAATACTTGTTAAAAATGTATGTTAAATATTTTATACGGTTTTGTTTCCAAGTAACTAGTTTCTTCTTGACGATAACAAAAGTTCGATAGTTTTGCATTTCACAGTCATAGTATGTAGGTACATCGGTCACAAGAAAAAGATACTAGAAGACTAAAAAAGACAAAGACTAAAAAAAATGGAAGTCTGCAGTGACCCGGGAGATGACATAAATAATTACGTGTACACGGTGGACGTGCTATACGGCCCAACCAACGTGGCTGGCGTGGTGAAACACCGTACGGGAAGAGTGGAACGCATCAAAGGTATGTGGCGGTGAATTTTTTGTTTTCAAGAACCAATTTGTATGAACATTGCCCGTTTCGTTTGCAGAAAAACTGGAGCAGCTCGGGTTCGCCGTGTTCTTGAGGCGGATCTCGGATTATGGAATGGTGGCGTTCGCGTTCGAAGGTCAAATAATTTTTTCTTGCGCGGCCAAGAACCTATCGTTCGCCGACAGTTGGTCAAGGTATCCGTTAGCAAACACGGTAATCCAGAAGATGGTGAATGAACGAAATTACGCTGATATACTGTATTAGACCGCCGAACGCGGTTGACCGCGTCCCTCCATCAATTCGGCACTGACATTGGTATCGTTCAATAACAATTGCAACTGACCCGGAGTCATGCGAGGGGGACGTGGTATAAGGTTCACGATCACGGTGTAGTGTACGAGGAGTAAAATAATCGACGTTTATCGAATAAATTAAAAGTAAAAAAAAAAAAAAAAAAAACGAAATGATATGTACATGTTTTACATTTATAGTAACAAACACTACAAAATTACTACTACTCCCTTTGTAGTTCACCCTCGAAATTAGTAGTTTTTGCATTACAATGACGTACTTGTTTTTGTTTTCAATATAAACAAATATATGCAAATGTATTGTCTCAATTTGTATTTTTTATTATATTTTAAGCGTTTAATACTTAAATTTGTCTACCAGAATCTTGATCTGTGTACTATCGATATGTACGTATGGTACTATTTCTGAAATGAAATATTGTCTAAATGATACTTTGAGTCATTTTTTGATTTTCCAATCGGTTTTCAATAATATCTGGGAAAAACTGGAATAAAATGTCAGAAAAACAGGAAAATTCGATAAAATTGTTCGACTAAACAGAAATACTTGATAATTAAACGGGAGGTTCATTAGAAGTTGTACTTGGGGCCAAAACAAAAAAAATTGAGTTTAATGTACCATTTTTTTTTTTACGAATATTAATATCAAATTTGACGGAAAATGTTTATTAAAAAATTATATGACACAAATCTATACGCATTATTCCAATAGGTATATTATATTTATTTTACTATAATACTCTATTTACTATATATTCTTAAACGATGCTACTGTTAATTGTTATACAGGCTACTAATGTTAAGTCGGAATAGGTCTACCACTTTTAAATGCTGTTTGAAGCGAGACAGACATTCCAAATCTATTAAAACTCACAGTAATCAACATTTTTAAAACTTAAAACGAAACTTTTGTTTCTCTAAGAACCGAAACTGAAGAGTTAATTATTTTTAAGAGCCCAAAACCGAAATTTTTGTTTTTTTAAAAAACGAATAGAACCAAAATTCGATAAAAGCATTAAAATTTCACTTCCTGCTTAAAGCATACAATACTGATACTGATGTGTTTGGTATAAGAATAATTCATCTTTTTATTATATATATACATTATACATACAAACTATAATTATTAATAATTAATTAGTAACAATAATATAATTTATGTCGCATTATTAACTGATGGATAAAACAATCTCCTTACACGCTAAGCGCGGCATCTGTTTTAGAAATTCAAATAGGTAGATGGTTAATGAGTTATAAACTAGATAGCGTTCACAATATACTTTGACAAAAAAGCCTTGAAGAAAATGTAGACAGTATGCGCTGAAAAAAAAAGCGTTCGCTGTTATAAAACAAATCATACTGTACATGCACCACAATATTATAAAATAATATCTATATCTTCGTCGTGGTGCAAAAAGTGACACTCTGCAATAATATGACTAAAGAGTTCTTATAGTCCCCCTAGGTATAACTGTAAAAAAAAATACCAAGTGAAAATTCTAAAAATACCCTGGATAAAACGTAAGAAAATGGAAAATTTACGAAAATAATGCTTTTTATTATTTTCAATTGTGTTATTTGTTGTAATTCAGTAAAAAAAAATTCGTAAAGACTAGAAATTTGGACAGAAAACTTACATTTGTCTTTTCTAGACATGATAATATTTTCAAAACATTTGAGCTACTTTTAATTTTTTTATACAAATTTAAATTTTTTGTTGAAATTCATTTAAAAATATTCGTATCGACTTTATGGACTTAAAATTCTAACGCAAAACATATATATTTTTAAAAATGTTTAAAAAATGAGCTTTTGATAGAAATTTTAATTTTACGAGTTTTGTACGTAATTTTTATTTGATAGGTACTTTGTGGTAGAATTGTTAGACTTAACAGAAATTATTGAAAACTTGTCTACAAGATTCTGTAACCTAGAGCAATTATCCCTGAACATCCCACCCCTAAATAAGCCATTGTAAATGGATGTATATGAATATTATACCTAAAATATAGTACAAATATTATGCATATTACACTTGGTATTTGAAATTATTTTTTATTGTACACAGATAACTGCGTAGGTTTATATATCTGAAGTGCATTAACAGTTCATTGCAACAAGACATAAAAAAATAAAAATACAGAAGACCCCTTTAAATTAAACGCCTGTTCCAGAATTAAAACTAGCCAATTTTTACGATGAGACTGTACCAATTCCACCGTAATTATATTTGAAAACCAGTAAAATGTTGTTCTTGTACCTAAGTGAAATTTAATTTAGAACCACCTATATAATAAATAATAATACATACAAACTTATTTTTTTATGCAGTTTATTCACTTTATGTAAAGTTTTATCCTTTATTATAAATAAAGTTTAAACAATATGATGGATAGCCCACACTCGATTGACGATGTTATGATTTCTGAGTAACTACGAATTTTCTACTTTGACCGTAACGTACCTATATAATATTATTACACACAAGTTCTCGTATATCGGTCAGCCGTTTTAGTATACAAAAAGCGTTTCAGTGAGTGCGTTCTGTATATTATTTGAACGTTCGGCTGACGTAGCAAAAAGCAAATAAATGGGTATAATATTGTGTCCATTCAAAGATAAATGACACAGGGAGATGATTTCGGCGGGCTAGTGAGCGTGTGCGTGTGTTGGGTTGTAGTGAGTGTGGCGGTGGATAAGATGACGTGTATACGCGTACAAACATTTATTTTTTTCTCTTATTTTTCGTCGATGGAATCGGGTCTGACAAATATCTCCGGACCGAAATCCGACAAACGCACCAAGTACACAGATAAATGTACTGTGGAAGCTATTCACCGGAGTACAAAGTTCTATCCATATACCGAACATATACCGATGCATCGGAAATAACATTCCCCCAAGAAAACTTATTGCACGGGACACGCATAAATGTGTTCGTGTACATAAATATATAATTGTATTATAGCATAATAATGTGTGAGTATAAATCATATCGTATTTGGCAACTGTTTTCCGACCTGTTCCGAAAAATAGCATAACATGTTCAATTAACATGTTTTTGACAACGATTTTTTTTTATGCGCTCTCGTTGAAAAACAGAATAAACTACAATATTATGAAACTATAGGTATTATTTTTATTATATACGAGTAGTGTATTTTAATGCTAATCTAGTCTCCGGTCTACACTACATATTTGTGTAATCGATATAATGCAAGATACTCATTATCTTGGAAAGTATTTACTTTTTTTTGGAATTTTATTTATTTATTAATTTTTTTTTTTATCCTATTTAAGAAACATCTATATACCACCTTGGTTAATTAATATTTGAAAAATTATCATATTAAATTCATCGGGGTTTTTTTTTATAAACTTAGCGAGCGTATCAATATGATTATGTAAAAATGATAGTAAAATAATGTACAAAGTGATGTTAACAGTGTATTAAACTATGTTAAAGTGTATAATATTATTCCAATTCATATTTTGTAGCAGACTATTCTTAATAGGCATTAGATCCAACGCTCAACGATGACATCTTTTCATCTCTGGTAGTTTTTCTTCGCTTTTATTAAAACTGAAAAGGATCTCTCCCCGTTTGCGATGGACTCAACAAATTTTAAAGTTATTTCCATATTAAGATACTACTAGTTCAACTATGATGTTTGAATCATTTATTTATTTATTTTATAACAATACAGGTTGAGGCCCAAAAAACATCAAGCGATATGTATAAATATGATAATACAAAAAAAAAAAATTACAGATAATTAGTTGGAATAATAATAATAACAGTAATAAAAATATTAAATTAATAAATAAAAATCCCAGTTGAAAAATAGTTAATGGATAGTTAAAAGCGGGGTTTTCATAAGCAAGACGCATAAGATATAGTAAGGTACTATACTATAAGGTATAGTAGGGAATTTAGTGTGTAACTAGAGATTTTCATTTAGTTACCTGTTCTTTTTCGAAATTCGGCACTAGTTAACTGTATATACTTTATAATTCTACAATTAATGCATAAAAAAAATCGCTGTTAAAAATATTAAATCTGTCTATTTTTCAGTTAATCAGAATTGACGAGAGATGACAGTGTAATAAAAACAATTGCTTGGGTATTGCACAAATAAAAAAATTGTGAACATTTACCTAGAGCAAATGGGGTATAAGTGACATATTTATATTTTATTGGTTTCGAGAAAATCAAGGTTAAAGTTAATTGTATTTAATATAATTATCATGGCATATTATTATATCATCTCTTACATTCGATTGAAACAAAAAAATGTTAAGCCACTTAGCAGTAAAGAGACATAAGAGTATGTACAGCTGTTGTGGATCCTTGTACCTATTTCCCTCTATGTTATGACATTTGTGTTTGAAGACTATTTTAATGAGATTTAGAATTTAATAATAGATCGCACTACATGACGTGATGTTATTGATATGTATTATTAACAAAGCAACACTATCAACCGAACTCTGCTCAGAATCGTTTTTTGTTAACAATGGTAAATCATTGCGTACAGATATATATTAAATCTCCTCTCTACTTCCTTCCCAACTTTTCACTTTGTATAGTAGCCCATCCACGTGCGAAATATATCCTTCTATTTTTATTTTTTGTTGATTTCTGGATACCTTAGCAACAACTTAAAACACGAATAATACTATTCCATTTAGAATCGTTTTTTGTTTAAAACGGATAACTTGGAAAAAATCTTCGTTAAGACACACATTATCTCGGAAAGTATCAACATAGTTTAGAATTGTTTGATTGAACAATTTAAGAAACAATTACCTTACGAATGTTACATAATCGTTATTTTTCGTTGCCCTTATTTTTGGTAGTCAAACAACTACCCGCTTTAATTTTCAATAAGAAGCCTATATTAATTAAATAAATACATCTAATACACTCAAATATATTTTGGTATCGACGTT